CTTCTCTAAGTCCAACGTTTTTCTTTTCTTTTCGTCCATTTTTATTTTAAGATGCTGTTCTGTTTAAGGATTCCTCTCAGGAGATACAATGTAGTCCCTAGGACAACGATTTCACTTGTTTGGTCTTTTTTACTTGTTTCCTTTTTTTTGATTTCTTTAAATAAAAAGCTTAAACTAACGGTATTTCTGTGTAAAATTTTGTTTCGAGAAATAAATATTGCTTTTTTAATAATATCTGCTGAATCAATAGCAGGAATATTTTTATTTATACAATATTCAACCATTTTAAGCTTTTAGGAAGGGGGACCAGCACTCCCTTGCCCCCCCCCCCTCCCTGATCGAGAACCCTGCTTCTAGTACTGAAAATGAACAACAAAAAAATGTAAGGGATTCAGAAAAGTTAGTAGAGGAAGATTTCCGTGTTTTTAAATTACTTTTTATTTAATTTATTTTCATTATCATTTTCGTTCTAGATGCTACGTTCAATTTTTCTTAATACATCAAATATAATACACATATCTCCTTGTAGATCACTAATGCTTTGCGCTACTTGTTGAGTATTACTCACAACTTCGATACTTTGATTATATGGATTATATCGGACTGCAAATGGACGTTTGATCGGCGAAGCAAATTCTCTATGAAAAACAAAAACAAAAAATAAAAAAAGAATTAATAAATCTTCTTCTTGTTCAATACAATATTTTACCCAATTTTTTCTTTTGCTTCGACAAAACTTGCAGAAACAAAATATTGTTCTTGATAGGTTGTAATCAACCACTCTTGACGACATACCACATCTGGGTCAAATGGAAGATTTTTTGCCGTACCACTAATGGCATGCTAGAAATATGAAATGATAATTATTTATTATAATTATTATAGATAATTCGTAAATACCTGCAATTCAGAGCATGAGGATAATAAACCCGCACCATAAGCACATAGTTCCCCATTTTGACGACATAATCCAAATTCGATTGTAAAGAAATAACACTACAATAATATCATTACATTTAACAAGTATAAAAAAACGGAAAAATACAGAAATCCTACCGTTGCGAGTCTGTTAATATCTTCTTCTGATGCTCCAACAGCTGCTAATCCAATTTCATGCGAAAACTGAGCAAAATTTGGATCTGCCAACATAGCCCCCGAACCATGAGTTTTCAAGATGTCGCTCAGGTCCAGTTTTGTACAGGATACTTCATGCTATATATGCCCCCATAGATCAATAGATTCCTATTTGAATTTCGGAAAAGCTAAGCTATTTTCCCGCAGATTCTCTGGAAAACCGGCTTCGAAAATTTTTCCGAAAATTCGCTTCTCTTGCGGCAAGATACTCTTCGGTTTTGTCTATCGAATGGTGAAAACTGCAAGCCTCTAACTCTATTTGATGCTGAGTTATTAAAAAAATAACCGCTGCTCTTGTATTTTGGCTCCGATAGTAGTAAAAACCAAATCAAGTATTGTTTTAGTCATTCAGTCCTTGCTAACTCTTGTAGGCTTGTAGGATAAAAATTTGCCGATCATTTTAATAGTAGTAGATGTCATCATCTTTTGTAAAGAATCGAACAGATGGACGAAGTTCAATACAACGTCGTAATAAATTTAGATTTTCTCTCGTAAGATCTTCGCGTACTGTAATATAGTAGTAATCTGTTTCATTGAGATATTTACGATTTTTATAAGATAATTCACGTGAACGATAAGATGAAACGAACGATTATTGGACGAGGAGGATTGAGGATCATATTTTCCAACACGACGACTTCGTGATATATCAATTTCGTAGACTGGTAGATCAAGATATTCAACAATCTGTAATATTATTTCATTTGTATTTTCATTTTCCATTTCATCAATCCCAAAAAAAACGTAGATCTGTCCTGCCATCATATTGTTCCAAATGATTCATCCTTTTATCCATACCAGCTTTACACTCACGTATTTCTTTATTACACAGAGATAATTTAAGATTTATATCTGTTGGATTATCAGTTGTTGATAATTGTTGACTGGATGAATTCTAAAGTTGTTCTAATTCACGATTAACTAGTATTATTTTTCATCTAATTCTGCTTTTAAATTTAAAGAGTCTTCAAAAAATATTAGGGTATTAACTATGACGAAAGAATAGCTATGAGGAAAACAGTTTTGGAATGCGAGACTTACTGTATTTCGTTTAATTAAGAAAAAGATTCAAGAGTGTACAACAGTAATTTTATTTAACGAAAAAGCGAATATACAAAACTTCTTAAAACAAAGATATAGTACCTGTTACAGAACACCAAAACAGAAAGATCTTGTAAGAGCACATAAACTGCTCATAAATTAACCAGTGGAAACTTCATGAAAGGAACCTACAATTAAAAATACTTTAAATGATATGATAAATGAGATAGAGCCAGAAAGCAAAATCATACCAGTGTTACGTCGTGCATCCCTCAGAAAAAAATAGAAGAGTATGTGGAAGTCTGAATCATTCTATACAAAATTACACGAATCATAATTGTTGTATCTATAGTTCATCATCCAGATATTGGTATGATTCTCCAGACGCTGCATATTTGTCGCGAATTACGGTTCTCATCAGGTGAGTTTTGATGGCAAGCACTACAAAGGAGAATATAAAAATTATTAATATCATACGGCCGCTTGACAATAATGACTCCAACTTTGTTACTCATGAAGCAAAAAAATACAAGAGCCAGAAAGAACAAGAACTGCTCATGTTCATATAGTTCCGTAAATTTATTTCTACCATATATGCAAGTAACGTCATCTTCGAATCACTGACCCTTAATTGATATGATTTTAAAATGGGCATTTTTAAAGGAAAAGAGAAAAGTCAATGATTGTTTTTTTTCTTTGTTGGTATGTAAGGTTAGATTGAATAAATGATATACGTGTTGAAGGACATATTTACAAACTGATTCCACTAATAAATGTGGGAGCATTCTGGTATTCTGGCAGTGTGCTTTAACATTTGGATGAACATATTGATTCCAGCAGGGATCATTTTCATTCCGGTAAATTGATTACGGTAATTAGCATAGAAACATATTGATTTATAACAGCATATATGAGCTCAGATTAATTACTGGAATCAACATGTTGCCATACTAATTAATTCAATTAATATATCACATTTGCATTTTTGACTATATTTTTATCTCATTGCTTCTTTTTTCTACATACATTTTTTATCAAAACTCTTGCTTGTCATATTCTTTTCTCACGTTATTCTCTATATACGTTTTCCTTCTTCCCTTATACTGACATGTACGAATCGTGATATTTTGTAGACACAATTTTTTCTAGCTAACTGCATGAATTCTACATATTTAAAAATCATTTTGCTATCCAACAATATTAAAATAGAACTTTTCTAATAAAAGACCACAACGACCAGAATTTTGGCAACAATGCTTCAAAACAGGTGTCGCATTCTTGCGGCTACATAAAAAATACCAAAGATGCCAACATTATGATCTACTACAAATCATACAAAAAAATCATCCGATTCATCCAAACAACAAATCACTACCAAATTCCAACGAACTAAATCTTGACTGGATTTAGTTTAGCATTTTTCTACTATGCAAACGGCCACTTTTGCTTCATATGACCCTACACTATAAATCGTGACAGTCGTCTTAGTGACTTACAATCAGTCACTGCAAATCACTTTAGCAACTGACCAAGCGCATCAGTGACCTTTCGCAGCTGAGCATATTTCTCATTCGGAAAAGCGACTGCTACTTATCGGTTAAGACAAGAAATATCTTCGAAATATAGAAAAAAAGCTTCAAATACACGACTTTTCAATTTTATTATCTTGATATTTTATTAGAGTGTATTTTTCCTTCTTCTACCAACAGAACTGTGTCTGAAATAATGGACGTTTTTTTTACCTGTTTTATAAGTTGATATTTTTCGATCTATGATTCTCAGATACGACTATGTAAATCTTCAATTCGTTTTATAGGTATTATCATTATCAACGCCTATAGTCATGCATTCTTTCTTATTCTTCGAGTTAGTTAAGATTTTGTTCATCATCATTTTGTTAAAGATGATCATCCCGTCCATTATAATGGTTATTTTATTATTATTTACAATAATAATATCAAATGGGTTTAGAAAAGCGGAAGATTCGATGGAAAATACTTTTTACAATTAGTTTCCAAATTGGTTTTCTCCTGTCACAGCAAGACGTATTGGGAAGAGAGCGAGAAAAGTTTGAAATAATGCTTATTAATATAAGAGGCAAAGTAGTTTATTTCTTCGCTGCTCAGTAACACCGGTATAAAGCGAAGACAATTGTTTTTCTGTCTGTGCTTTCAGACCCTCTCTCTCCCTGCAGTCGGAGTCTCTAATTTGTCTGATGTGTTTCTTCCTTAAGATTTTTACGATACAGATTACGATGGCACATATCGAAATAGCTACTCTTTCTTCCTTGTTTTAAACCATCCTCTTCGCTTTTGGACTAAAAAACAATTAGATTTGCTGTAAATTCACTGAATTCTTGGAATAAGAAATCGGTCTGAAACGAAATTGTTTGTGTCGTTCCAAAATTGTTTCGTATAAATCAATGACAGTGTCGGTTGAGATAATTCTAGACAACCTGTCTAATTTTCACAGTATTTTGAGCGCACCTGAAGCATTTTCACTCGGGAAATAACGACACTTCACAGGTGTATAGACCAGACATTTCTCTATTTACTAATGTAAAAATCTTGTTAAAGTTCAATAAGATTAATTAGTACTCATCAATTTCCAGAGAGTTCCTATCAAATGCCCGTAATTACCCTAAATGGGATAATTATGGACAGTCCAGCAAAAATGGCTGGAACAAAGTAAAACAATTTTTTTTCAACGTCAAAGTTTTACCTTTCTGATTAAAAATTATATTATCGTGTAGAGACATTTGAGCTCTGTCTACCTTGTAAATTGCTAGTCCTTTGGACACATCCTTGATTAATTAATTAAAAATTACGAAAATAAACGAACATGGTCGTTTTTTTTATTTTTCTTCCTTGGGTTTAATTATGGACACTCCGTGCAAATCGCACGAGATAGACAGAAAACAACTTCTGCTGTCTTTTAGTAACCGATTTTGATATCATGCTAAACGGCATGATTGTTCAGAACTATGAGCTCTATCATATAGGTAAAACCCGGATAAAAAGATCGCATTTTTTATCGTTTCCTGTAGAGAATATGAATATGTTTTTGAACGGTCTTACGTTCATTAAAATCAAAAGAAGAATTTAATTGGAACCTTAATTAACAATCAGCTCACGAACAAATTCAACTTTTCATAAACTTCGTACAGTTCTCATCAGGTTATATCAAACGTTTTTTTTTAAAACCTTTGACCGTGCATCTATGGTGAATGCGTAAAAGTGCGCATATTTTCCTGGACTAAGATATTGGTTTTCCAAAATCCCTCGGTTTTTGAGGTAAACTCACCTTTTCGCACCCAAAAAACATTTTTTCCTACATGATATATATATATATTCGGAATCACCGTGAAAAACTGCAAGAATGGTATATAATTCATCTGAATTCGGTCCTTCCGTTCCGAATTCTATAAATTTCTTAGATTTGGGATTCACACAAAGAACTTTCCGCTGAAAATTCAAAATTCAAGAGAGAACCGTGAAACGTCTGAAAAAACTGCTTCTACAGGTTATCGACGATGCTCCACCCAATAGAATGATTTTTCAGTTTAAAAACGTTTTTCAAAGGGCTTTCCAAAAATCCGGTCTCGGAAAACCCACTGGAAAACTATTCCATTGGCAAGAGAATCGTCGAAAACCTATAGAAAGTGGTTCAGATAATTTCAGTCCACTTATGAAGTTAATGCCCGCCTGCTCTAGCGAAAAATGCCCACTGTGTCATGCATTGAAAAAGCGTAGAAGTGACCTATGCACATGTGAATGTTGCCATGCGTTGAAATGGTTGGGAAAAAGATCCTGATGGCCTAGGCTTAGTATCTCACGTAGAATAAATGAAACGCCGTCTTTCTTAGTTTGCAAGCCTTCTTAATTATTAATTCTTTTAAGTGACTGTCTTTCTAATGTCCCCTATAGAGCTTCGTATCTAGAATTATAAATTCACACATTCTGTGTTCACACAAC